TAGGGAAAGGTGGGAAGAGGTAAGTTATGGTTGAAAGATACTGACCAGACTGGGGAGTAAATGGAACCAATTTTTAGATGTTCAAGCCTCAGAAAAGTTATAAATTTCACAAAAATTATAAATTTCTACATTATTGATTTTTTTTCCTCTAGGAGAGGGAAGAATTGAGTGTTGTGAATAGTTATGGACTAGAGACCTTTTGGAGCCAAAAGGAAGATAGTCTTGAGTCTGTTGTTATGGTAAGTAACATACCAGGCTGTATGTTTCTATATAAACAGTGGATTTTTGAGGCTGGAGGAGAGGGAAACTGGGGGAGACAAGGAGGAATGGGAGAAGATACATGGAAAGAAGATACATGACCCTTTCTTAGCTCCTGAGATAGCAGAGTGCTAAAACCAGTGCTGTCCTACCAATTTAAGTGTATTTTCTACTCCTTTTCAACAGGCTTATTCACAATAGGCTTTTAGTAATTCCTTTGTGATTGATTTGCAGCCCCCAAAAGGCAGTATGGCCAGTGCTTAAGCAGGCCCTGGAGTCACAAGATGGAGATTTAGATACTGGCTCTGCTACTTACTAGCTGAGAGTTCTTAGTAGTTATTTAACTGCCCTGAGCATCAGGTTTTCCATCTGTAAGGCGCAAACATTGGTATTCATACCTATTTTACAATCTTGGGAAGATTAAATGAGATAATCCATGTAATTAATGAAAAATAAATGAGGTAATCCCTAGCCTGGGACCTGATACATTAAGCATTATCTAGTTTTTTTTTTTTTTTTCCCTTGCGTTATGCGGGCCTCTCACTGTTGTGGCTTCTCCCATTTGCGGAGCACAGGCTCCGGACGCGCAGGCTCAGTGGCCATGGCTCACGGGCCCAGCCGCTCCGCGGCATGTGGGATCTTCCCGAAACGGGGCACGAACTCGCGTCTCCTGCATCGGCAGGCGGACTCTCAAGCACTGCGCCACCAGGGAAGCCCTATCTAGTTTTTTAAATAACACTTTATCAACTTTATCTGCCTGTCACGTACATCCTTTAACTATAAGGATCTGCCTTGAGCTTTGAAGTTCTGTACTCAGCCTGTCTGCCTATTCTGTGCACTCTGACCCTAGCCATGGAAGAGAGAACCAGTCTTTTCCTAGGAAGAGGTAAGAGAAACCTCTTAGCGAAGGGTACCCTGAAGCTAAGACTTGAAGTATATATTTGGGTTTGCCAGATGCACCAGCCAGGGCTACTAGCCTAGCCTGTTATATTGATCCTGAGGCTTAGAGGATGATGGCTCTTTTTTGGTTCTGATATTCATTCATATTTTTCATTCATTCAACAAATGTATTCTAGACGCTAGGAATATTGCAGTGAACAAAAGACTAAGTCCTAACCCTAATGGAAGTTATATTCCAGTAGGAGAGAGAAACAAGTTAACAAATATAAGATATATACCACAAAGTTGGATGGTGAAAAGTGCTATGAAGAGAAATATTGTAAAACAGGCTAAGGGGACAGCTATTTTAGATGAAGTAGTCAGGGTGTGCCTCTTTTTGAGGAAATAATTTTCAGTCAGAGACTTGATCAAATAAAGGAGCAAGCTACCTGGGGGAAGGGCATTCTAGGCAGAAGGAGCAAGTGTAAAGATTCTGATGTGTTGTGTGAGGCTGAAGGTAGGGGGAGGTACCTCATTATGTAGCGCAGTGAAAACTTTAGGTTTTATTCTTAGAGTGGTAGGAAGCAGTTATAGTATTTTGAGCTAGGGAAGTGTCATGGATTACTTTAAATGTTGACAGCCAGACTGTATTTTATTTTCTAGGTGCTGACCTCTAAAAGGCTTCCTTATTTTTAATTTTTTCCTTATTTTTAATTTTTTTCCTTGGTGCCCTACAGTTGATTGGCTATTTAGGGCAAATATGATACCCTCGGCTAATAAAATTAGGGAATATTTTAATTCATATAACAGGCTATGACCATGCTCAGAATCATTTATTTCCACTGTACTCTCTCTCCTTTTGACCTTAACAGTAATACACATTTTAAAAGACAAAACTCCCATACAGCCACCATCTTAGAGTAGCTATTTGTCTGTATGGATGCATATCGTTACTTAGTTGTGATTCTGAAGTCTTCCTTTTCCTCCTAGCATTTCTCCATAAATGTTTTTCTGGTTTTTGCTTAATCTTTGTATTAATCATTTACTGATTATTATTTATTATTTAGTTAACTATTTTAAATGGTTTTGAACAAGCCTTTGCATAAGAGACAGGCACAGAGGATGAGCTCAAGAAATGTTAGTGTTTTTGTGACTGTGAAGATGGAATTAAGAAAATAATAGAACCTACCATTTATTGAGCATCTGTTGAGATCCAGGCATTGGGCCATGTCCTTTATTGACAGTGTCTCAGTTCCCATGGCAACTCCTTAAGACATGTAATGATATCTTACTTATTTTATCGAAATTGAAGTTTGAAGCTGAAGGAAGTAACTTACCCAAGTTCTCATAGCTACAAAAAGCACAGTGGGAATTTGAGCCAAAATCTGATTCCAGAGTTTGAACATTCAGCTTTAACTATCACAATATACTAACTCTCAGCTCCCATGTTCTTTTTTTTTTAATTTATATGTATATATCTCTCTATATTTTTTTTTATTTATTTTTGGCTGCATTGGGTCTTCGTTGCTGCACGCTGGCCTTCTCCAGCTGCAGCGAGTGGGGTCTGCTCTTCATTGTGGTGCACAGACTTCTCATTGCGGTGGCTTCTCCTGTTGTGGAGCACAGGCTCTAGGCGTGCAGGCTTCAGTGGTTGTGGCACACGGGCTCAGTAGTTGTGGCTCGCAGGCTCTAGAGCACAGGCTCAGTAGTGGTGCACGGACCCAAGTCCCCTGCATTGGCAGGCGGACTCTTAACCACTGCGCCACCAGGGAAGCCCTCAGCTCCCATGTTCTTAAAAAACAAAATAAGATACATTTAAATTTTGAAGTAATTTCAGATTTACAAAAAAGTTGTAAAATAATACAAAGAATACCCATACACCCTTCACCCGTAGTCCCTAAATGTTTACATTTTACTATGTTTGTTTTATGAGTCTGTCTATACTAATTTCTCTATACATACATGTACCTATATGTACATTTTTTCTGAACCTTTTGAGAGTAAGCTATAGACATAATACCTCATCTCAAACTACAAGAGAATTAAGCCCCAAAGTCCTAAGACATGGTAAGCCCTGAAGTAATAGGTATGCAATGAATTAACTTCTCTCCCATGTGTGTTCAGTGCTACTAGCTACATGTCATCCTTGGGAGAATTTTAAAAATAGTTACTCAAGTCATTTTCTGTAGGGCTTCGTGCTTTGCCAGAACTCTAGTTGAGAAAGCCTGTCCTAAATACTCAATTGTTTATTCCCTGAAGACAAGGCTATTCTCTTATATTATCATTACAGTTCTCACAGTCAAAAAATTAACATTCAGGGCTTCCCTGGTGGCGCAGTGGTTGAGAGTCCGCCTGCCGATGCAGGGGACACTGGTTCGTGCCCCGGTCTGGGAAGATCCCACATGCCGCGGAGCGGCTGGGCCCGTGAGCCATGGCCGCTGAGCCTGCGCGTCTGGAGCCTGTGCTCCGCAACGGGGGAGGCCACAACGGTGAGAGGCCAGTGTACCAGGAAAAAAAAAAAAAAAAATTAACATTCATATAATACTGTTATCTGATCGCCAGACATTATTGGAGTTTAGCCAATTGTTCCACTAACGTCCTTTGTAGGAAAAGAAAAATAAATTTTTTTGTTGTCCAGGATCCATTCCACCATCACCCATTTCATTTAATTGTCATGTCTTTATTGTGGAACATATCCTCAGACTTTGTCTTTAGAGTTGTTTTTTTTTTTTAAGTTTAGGCCATTTATTTGGCAGAATTTTCCTCAATTTGGGTTTGTCTGATGTTTCCTCATGATTAGATTCAGGTTATACATTTTTGGCAAGATAGCACAGAAGTGATATTCTTTTCTTCTCTTTGCATCATATTAGGAGGCAACTATATATCTTGTTACTGATGGTGTTAACTCTGATCATTTGGTTAAGGTGGTGTCTTCCAGGTTTCTATACTGTGAAGTTACTGTTTTTGTCTTTCTAATTATTAAATATATAGTGGGGAGATATATTCAGATTGTGTAAATATCCTGATTCTCATAAAACTTTCATCCACTATATTTTTGTATTTTTGCCTGAAACTGTTGTTACTCTTCATTGGACATGTGATGTTTTTAATTCCATCATTTATTCTACATTTAATTGTTGGCTTTTTTAATATAAGAAAAAAGTATCCCTTCTCACTCACTATTTATTCACTTTTTTTTTTGATAAATAAAACCAAACGTTTATTTACACCAAAGAATTCCAACACTGGATCTTTCACATATGAAGGACAAAGTATTATATATATACAGACAGCAAGGGGTGGCAGGGCTGTAACAGGAGAGTTTAGTTTTCCCACAATTACAGTTCTACCATTTCAGTTTCACTGAAGATAGTGGCTCTGCTCCTACCTCTCAGGTACATTTACAAGACTGAGGGGCAGGTCTTCTCAATGGATGGCATGTGAGGGAAGGGGAAGTTAGGAAAAGAAGGTAAAAAGCTTAAAATAAAATGCAGTAGCCACATCTCTCATTAGCTCTTCAAGAGTTGCTAGCATGAAACCAACATAGACAATGTTTTTTTCTTTTGTAAAAAGCAATAATTATACCCAGTAACTAACTGAATTCAAAAGGGCCAAGTCAAAGAAAACTGAAAAAGATTTTGCCTTCCCCCTCCTACCAGCTATAGAGCATGTTGGGAGATGAAAGGGGAGAGGACCGAGGTAAGGAGCCTGGGAGGGACGGTATTAAAGTTTTAAACTGAACTGAAACTAAATTATAAGTGAGTTGTATTTAGGTTAGGTCAGTAAGACATGATTCATACTGAACAGACGTTTTCAGGACCTGTCTGCACTTCGGGTAGATTTTCAGCATCTCAGTGTAACTAAGACATTTTTCCACTAGATTCACCAGTATAACCCCACTGAAGCACTTTTGGAGTAAAGTGATATAAGTGACTAGCAGTACACTGCTCTTATAGGTTGGGTCCTTCCTTCTTCCTTCCTTCCCACCTCCCTTCAAGAAGCTACATTTTTGTAATCTCTGGAGGAGAGCATGAAATACAAACCCCTCAAAGTGTGGGATGGTAGGGGAGCAATGGTGGGCATGGGAAGAAATCTCCACCCAAACGCAGCAGCCAGAATTGAGGCTGGTTTATCTTTGTTCTTTAGTGATGAGGAACTGAATTTGGAAGGGGAGACAAAAATTTGTCCGTGAAATATTCCACCTGCAGATAATTTTTCAGGGAATCCCGTGAGTTATGAAAAGTTCGAGTTAAAAAAAAAGAAAGAAAGAAAAAAAGGAATATCAGCCTATTATAATTTTTTTTTTATGACTGAACTACTATAAATCCACAAGCAACGGTTCAGACACGGTGCTTCTGAAGTATTTCACCCCTCCCCGCCAGGCGCAAGCTGCATCAAGGGAGTGAGTGGACTCCCCAACCTCTGCTCAGGCCTCAGGAGACAGAAGGGGCCATTACTGCTGAGCGCCAGCGGCAGCTGGAACAGGCATCCCGAGGGGGTTGGCAGCAGCAATCACTGGTGAGCCTGCCTGAGGTCTAAGGGGTGAAGGGGTTGGCACTGAAGAAATCCCCGACATCATATTGGTGCTGCTGACAGGTATACTGCCCCCCCGGCACGCTAGATGAGCCCATTCGAGTCTGGTCCTTCACAACAGTGTAGAAATAGGGGTGCTCCACGGCCTCTCTTGTGGTGAGCCATGACTGGTGGTCGTACCACAGCAGCTTGTCCAGGAAATCCAAGGCCTCAGGGCTGACAAGGTGCTGGTTTTCACTGTGGACAAAGCATTCCCATCGCTTACGGGAATGTCTGCCCAAGATATCGTTAAAACGTGGATCTAATTGAATGCTGTATTTGTCAATATAGTCATATAAATCTCTGTCCCCAGAACCTTGGCTGTCCTCACCAACTGATCATAATTGTCATGTTCATGGAAAAATGGCTCCTTCCGGAAGATCACACTTGCCAGCATACAACCCAAGCTCCACATATCCAAATTATAATCATACATCTGATAGTCTACAAGTAGCTCAGGACCTTTGAAATATCGGGAAGCAACTCGGACATTATGTTCTTGGCCAGGATGGTAAAACTCAGCCAAACCCCAGTCTATTAGCCGTAGCTTTCTGTGCTCATGATTAATGATGACATTATGGGTCTTTACATCTCATGCATAATCCCCATGCTGTGACAGTAATCCAGGGCCTTCAGAATCTCATACATGTAAAATCGAATATCATGATCTGTTAACGTCTGGTACAATTGCTTGAAGTCTGTGTTGTTTACGTGTTCAAAAACCAAGGCAGGAGTTCATGACACAGGGTCTTTTACAATGTCTGCCAGTGTGATGATGTTGGGACCGCCTCGCAAATTCTCCAAAATCTTTATTTCACGCTTGATTTTCTTCTTCTTTACTGGCTTGAGAATTTTAACAACAACTTTTTCATTATTTGTGATGTTGACGGCTTCAAATACTTCACTGTATTTACCCCGGCCTAATTTTCTAACCAGCTGGTAGTCATCTTGATTTCCCCATTCCACCACATGTGACTTGTAATCCCAGTACTCTTGGGGTCTGTGCGTATTAACATCTGTGTAAACTCTGGCCCTGTTTGGCACGGGACCCAACATGTCAGATAGGTTGGCGGACAAAGCTGGACTTGACGTTTGGAGAGATGGCAATCACTGTGTTGAGAAGCAACTGGGGATAAGAGCTTGTTTCAGAACTGTTTTCTTCAAACTGTGGTGGAGCTGCAGTGGCGGCGGACGCTCTCCCCTCTCTTCACACAGACAATATGGCGGCGGCGGACTATTCACTTTTTAAATGAGTATGGATTCATGGATCCTTATTGTGTTACTAATTTATCACTATCATTATTTATTTTGATGTTGTTTGTTCCTGATTTGTATAGTGGCAGCCCCTTCAACCTGGCTTCTGGGTCCTCTTGGCATATTGTCACCACTTTTTGAGCACTTCCTTATTTTCTGACACAAGATGTTCCAGGTTCATCTTGTACTTTCTAAACCCTGGAATTAGCCATTTCTCCAGTGAGCCTTGATTCCTTTCAGTGGGAAATGGTGTTTAGAAACCATGCTCTAAGTGCTTGGTGTGCTCATTACTACTGGGATTTCATCGTTTGTGACCTCACAGCCAGACATTAGTAGAAAAAAAGTACACACTTTCACACATACACACATTTCTATTTTTTCTGTGTATACTTAAAAACCTTGACCTCAGGCTTTTCTGGTGGTGCAGTGGTTGAGAGTCCGCCTGCCGATGCAGGGGATACGGGTCAGTGCCCTGGTCAGGGAAGATACCACATGCCGCGGAGTGGCTGAGCCCGTGAGCCATGGCTGCTGAGCCTGCGCGTCCGGAGCCTGTGCTCCGACGGGAGAGACCACAACAGTGAGAGGCCCGCGTACTGCAAAAAAAAAAAGAAAAAAGAAAAAACCTTGACCTCATACTGATATTTCTAATTCCAGTTAAACACTACAGATGCAGAGTTCATTCTAGCCTTTCCCTTTTCTGTGTCTGTAACCCCCTTCGCTGACAGTGAAGCGTCTCGGTGCCGTTATATTTATTTATTTGTTCATTCCTAGGCTATACATTAAGTAGTGAACCTTTTCCACTCTGGAGGAAAACTCCTACTAATTAGAGTTCAGTAATTGTTTATAGTCCTTTTTATCTTTAGTTTGAGTTTATATAATCCTAATACTGTATTATAAAGTTATTTGAGTTATTTTTCCCCCTCCTGGGTGGTTTTGTTATTAATTTGAAATACAGACTTGTTTGTTTTTGTTTGTATTCCATTTTAATTTTTTTCTCCCTCAGCTTTTCTATTTATTTATGTATTTATGTATTTGTTGAATATGTGAAATGTAACAGTTGAAAAAGTAAAAATGTGTGTTTTACAAAAATGTATATACTAACAGAAGTATGACTCTCTTTCCATCCACCCTTTGGTACCAGTTTCATTTTCCTGTCCTTTTGATCCCATTTACACCTACCTTTTGATGATAACCAAACTCATTAGTTTCTTCTTTTCTGAGATTCTTTTTGGCCAAATGAATAGATACATGTATAGTTTCTTATTTCTACTTAATTCACAGCTGCTTTCTAAAATTTACAGTTTATCCTAGAAATTGCTCCACATCAATCATAAAGGTTATCTTCATCCTGTTTTACAGTTGCATAGTACCTCATTATATGTGAACATACCTCCTCTGTGCCAGGCACTGTCCCAGGTGCTAGGGAAATAGCAGCAAATGAAATGAACTAAAATCCTTGTCCTTTAGGGGCTTACATTCTATGGAGAAAAATAAAACAGGAAAGGAGAGAAGGAGTGTTGTATGTGTGGGTCAGCTGGGGTGGAGGTGTGTCATAATTTAAAATAAGATGGTCAGTCAGGCCTTACTGAGACTATGACAGTTTACCAAAGATTTGAGTGAGGTGAGAGAGGGAGCTTTGAAGATCTAAAGGAAGAGCACTTTAGCAGGGAGAGACTACAAGCACAAAGACTTTGAAATGGGAATGGACCTGGCTTGTTTGAACAACAGCAAGGAGGCCAAGGTGACTAGTGTGCAGTACACACGAGAAGAGCAGGGAAGTGTGTCGGAGTGGTAACTAGGAATCAGATTTCCTAGGGACTCCTAGGTTCTAATAGGAGCAGTTTTGGTGGAGTGGTGAGGGTATTAGATTGGAGTATGTTCCAGAAACCTTGGAAGATAAGAATTAAAGACAATAAACAGATTGATTTCTTTTGAGGAATTTTGCTGTAAAGAGAAGCAAAAGTGAGACAATAGCTCGAGCGTGAGGTGGTTGAGAGAAGTTTCTTGTTAGTGCTTTGGTTTTAGGAGAGACATAACAGCTAGTTTGCTGATTAGTGTGATCCAGTAGGAAAGAACAAATTGATATTGCAGGAGAGAGAGGATAGAATTGCAGGAGTGATGTCTTTGTGGCAAAAGGGTGGAATCCAGTACACCAATGGACAGGTTGTCCTTAGATTGAGCAGGGGCAGTTTATTATCCGTGGTAACAGAAGGAAAGATGGAGAGTGCATGACCACCTTGGAAGAGGTTGATTGATGTGGTGGGAGCATGTGGAAGTGTTTTTTTTTTATGTTTTTGGTTTTTGGCTTCCTTAGATTTTCTCAGTAAAATAGGAAGCAAAGTCATCCTATTTTTTTTTATCAGCAGTAATTTGGGATTTTTCTTTTTGAGCAAGGTTTGTGCTCATACGACCATATCAAAGCAGACTCTTAGGCCCCTTTACCATAATAATAGTTATTATAATAGCTAACACAGAGTACTTACCATGAGATAGATCATGATTAATTTATTATTCAACTCAATGATGTGAGATAATTTCCATCATTAATCCGTTTTATAGATGAGGAAATTACGTACAGAGTGATTAAGTAACTTGCCTGACATCACACAGCTAGGATGATAGTCATAGAAACTGACTTTCTCTCTCTTTGCACTGGGAATTCTAATGATCATTAACCATTCTCTTCCAAACCTTACTATAGAAAGGACTGCACAGATATTCATAGCCCCTTTTGGATTGTTTTCTTCATGAGCAGGCGTACTAATTATTAGGCGTCTTGATTATTCAGTTGAACCAAGGGAAGAGGAGGAATTCTGGTTTTGAGATCACCTGAGTTCATTAAAGAAACAGTTCTTTCTGGTACTTGCCCTGTATGTGTTGCCGATTGGTTTTATACTAGCAAAGAGGAAAACTAACTGCTTTCAACCCCTGTAAAACCTAGAGCACTTGTGGACTTTGATACAGAAATTCTGCCTTTTCTGCAGCAATTTTAATTTTGAGCATTTTTTCTTAGTTAAAGGAATATAAATAATACTTCTTCTTTGTCTCACAGGGTTGGAAATACCAAGTAAAGAATTAGTATATATGTTGCTGGAAACTTGCAGAGAGGAGCTGCTCATGACTGAAAGGCCTAAAACAGATGTATCGTTCAAGTTCTCATCGAGAAAATGACTGTGAAGAAAATGATGGGTCAGGAAGACCAGTGGAAAATTCCCTAGGAGAGAGCCATAGAAAATGTACACTTCAGAAGAGAGGTATAATCAGAGAACTCAAAAAAGGAAAATATATCATGTATGCCCTCAGAAGGGTAAAAAGATTTTTATTCATGTGCATGAGATTACTCAAATAGTTGATCATATATACCAGTGCCTTGAACGTGAGCAAAACTTCTGTGGAAACTTAGCTCTTATTATGTGTGAAAGAACCCATACAGGGGAGAAACCTTATAGATGTGATATGTGTGAGAAAACCTTCATCCAAAGCTCAGATCTTATTTCACACCAGAGGATCCACAATTATGAGAAACCTTATAAATGTAGCAAATGTGAGAAGAGCTTCTGGCACCACTTAGCCCTTTCAGGACACCAGAGAACACATGCAGGTAAAAAATTCTATACATGTGACATTTGTGGCAAGAATTTTGGTCAGAGCTCTGATCTGCTTGTCCACCAGCGAAGCCATACAGGCGAGAAACCGTATCTATGTAGTGAGTGTGACAAATGCTTCAGCCGAAGTACAAACCTCATAAGACACCGAAGAACTCACACAGGTGAGAAACCATTTAAGTGTCTGGAATGTGAAAAAGCTTTTAGTGGGAAATCAGATCTTATTAGCCACCAGAGAACTCATACTGGTGAAAGGCCCTACAAATGTAATAAGTGTGAGAAAAGTTACCGACACCGTTCAGCCTTCATTGTTCATAAAAGAGTTCATACTGGGGAGAAGCCCTATAAGTGTGGTGCCTGTGAGAAATGCTTTGGCCAGAAATCAGACCTTATTGTACACCAGAGAGTCCACACAGGTGAGAAGCCGTATAAATGCTTAGAATGTATGCGAAGTTTTACTCGGAGCGCCAACCTAATCAGGCACCAGGCAACTCACACTCACACTTTTAAATGCCTGGAATATGAGAAAAGTTTCAACTGTAGTTCAGACCTTATTGTGCATCAAAGAATTCACATGGAAGAGAAACCACATCAGTGGTCTGCATGTGAGAGTGGCTTCCTCCTGGGCATGGACTTTGTTGCCCAACAGAAAATGAGAACTCAGACAGAGGAGCTGCATTATAAATACGGTGTCTGTGATAAAAGCTTTCACCAGAGCTCAGCACTTCTTCAACATCAGACAATCCACATCGGTGAAAAACCATATATCTGTGATGTGGGTGAAAAAGGTCTTGAGCTCAGCCCTCCCCATGCATCAGAAGCCTCACAAATGTCTTGACCAGACAAGAAGTTATAATGCCATAAAAAATGTATTTACAATGTAAGAGAACTCCTTAAGATGAAGAACTCTAAGCAAATCTCAGACTTTCCTCAGAGCTCAGATTTCACTGGGGACCAGAGAATCTACAATTGTAGGAAGTTGAGAAATGGTTTGCCCAGAGAGCTGTTCTTACAGAAGCTTATCAACCAATCCAATGAGAAACCTTACAAATGCTCTGAGTTTGGGAAAACCTTTAGTCCAAGCTTGTATCTGATCACCCACAAGAGGATTCATACAGGTGGGAAACCTTACAAATTTGGTGAAGGTGAGAAAGCTTTCTAGCAATGGTCACCTCTTCTCATTCCAAGAGAATTCACATTGGTGGACAGCATTTTTAATACCCTGTGTCAACAGTGCTTCAGAGAGTGTGCACATTTCATTGGATGTCAGAATGCCCCACTGGGAAGAGACCCCCCCACAAGTGTGAAGAAAGCTTCTAACAGAACTATGACTTTCTTACCTATCAGAGAAGCCATACAGGTGAAAATTTCTATATTTGCCTTGAAGGTGGCAAAAGCATTAGGTGGAGAGCCTTCTTGGGTTTGCACCGCCCCCCCAAAAAAAAACAGTCTGAGGAAAGACCTTATGAACTCTCTGAATGAGAAAAGCTTCTGTCAGTGATCAGTTTTTGTGGTATACTGGGGAACTCACATAAGTGAAAAACCCTATAAACTTGAGTCTAAAAAAAAGCCTTGCAGGAAATCCCTACCTTATTGCACCCCAAAGAACCTACTCTGCAGATAATTTTGTTCTAGTAAGAGATCTAACTGTGGACTGTGTACATTTAATAGGTATGAGAAGAACTCTTCTCATAGTTAGTTGACTCATACAGTAGAGATGACTTTTAATGAGTCAATATGTAAACTGTTTTTTTTAGATACCCAGAAACTTCTTCTGGAAGGAGCTAGGGCAGGTCAGAGTAGGCCTGATGGGAAACTCAGGTAAAGATGCTTTTCTTTTATCTGAACCACTTAATGATTGCTTTACTTTCAGTTTTTAAAATTTGGAACTCCAATAAAGGAAAGGACTGTAACCTTGAGATAGAAGGTGTGGCATGTGTTACTGTTGGGGGAAAGAAGTACATTTACTTTGCCTCTGTCGATTTTGTAAGTCTTGGCTGGAATGGGGACTAGTGTGTTGATAGCAGCATGGGAACCTTTTGCTGTTTGTGAAAAGAACTAAGCAGCTAGGGAGTAGTTATCATAGATCAAAACTCTTCCCAAGGCTTCCCCTTTGGAGGGCCAACCTCATAACGAGGTAGAATACTCAGCTTTTTACTTGTGAGTTGAGGCATACCCTTACCAGTTTCCTTTCCCTAAAATCTTGCAGATTATTACTGGTATTTGCAGTTTCAGCTTTAGAGATTCATTTCTTCTCAACTCAGAGATGCACGTTCCAGGATAATAGTTATGATTTTTGCTAGTACCCATACTTTTGTGACTTCATTTATCATGTTTCTTTCAATGGTAAGATATCCTCATCAGCTCCTTGCAAAATAATTAAGAGAAAGCTGAAAGAAAGATTTAAGCCTGAGTAGGCACAGAGTAAAACACATAATGATGCATTATTAATGGAGAAGCTAGACTTTGATTTTCAGAATCGTGACTCAAAAGCTGGTGTTTTGTGTTTTTTTCCCACTCCATCATCCTGCTGTTTATAGCAAATCAAGCCGCATAATGACATGCCTTTCATTTACTTCGATTCTGCCAAGGAAAGAGAATACTTTTTATTCCCAGGGAAAAGACTACAATCACCACAATATAAGGTATATATTTCTCTTGTAATGTAGGATTCTAAATGCTAGAAGGGAAAAGTAGTTGGCAGATTCATCAGAGGTTTAAGGATAAGCACTTATCTCCAACTTAACAGGATAATTATGATTACCTTTAATATTCTCCAGAAATACTCTAATTAATCCAGGGATCTGTAAGTGGACACTTCTGAGGTTTTTTTTCTTCCCTCAGATTAAATGACATTTAATACAAATACTTAAAACTTCTACAGTATTTGGGACTGTGGGCTTGGTGAATAAGTTTTGAGTCCTCTGGTTTATCTTAGCAAATCCTGAACTCCAGAGAGCGTTGGTGTTCGGACTCATGGTGGTGGCCAACTATTGCACTGCCACCTTGTGTATGGCTCTAAGCTTTGATCCTGATGACTGGTTGTTGACCTTGATAATCTTAGGGTCAGAGGATATAGCTCATAGTGATAATAAGGAATCTGATTCTATGGTGTTTTTTTCTTTCTTCTTTTAGAAAACAGGTCCTGGAAGTTTATTTGATCTGATGTATTTTAGTAATTTTCATAAATAGCTCTTATACCATGAAAAGTTGCTCGGTGTGATAAAACACACAAGTTGTATTTGTTTCTCTTTGGTGAAAATCATGCCTATCACTAGTATATGTTTGACAATTGTAATTCTTAAAATAGTATTGGGTGTATGGCTTGGTGGTGATGAAAATTAGTCCTTATGGCTACTTGTTAGTCATTAGAGAGAACTTGGAGAAGGGAACAGAGTTTGTATCTTTGGCAGGGCAGTGACTTGCCCCTTCTTTCAACTAATCTTCCTGGTAATTGTCTCTAGTCTTTAAGTAAATTAAGAATGGACCATCCCTCAGACAGAGAACTTTGGGGGTATGAAACAGGTCTGAGGGCTTTTAACCATGGGGGGAAAAAGGTGTTGGTATTACTCATATAGAATAACCTGAGGTTGGAAAGGACCACTTGGGAGCCTGTAACCAAAACTAGAAGGTAACTTCTGGGATGGATGGAGGTTCTCTTGAAACAGTGCCAACCTAAATCTACCTCAGGTAAGTAGTCAGAGTGACTTTTTCTAGATTTCAGACCAAACGAGACACTTGTATTCAGTCAATGTATTCCTATGCTTTAATGTTTTTGTTTTCCCTTAATTCTTAAATAAAAGCATTGTTCTGAAAACTCCCATTTTTGCCTCCACTGTACTAAGAAAAAGCATTTCCCCTACACTTGCGTTAGAATAAAGCAGATGTTCAAGAATCCTTTCACAGTGTATATGTATATCAAACTGTCATAGTGTACACTTTAAATACCTTACAATTTTATTTGTCAGTTATATCTCAGTAAAGCTGGGGGGAAAAGGAATAAAGTGGATATTCATGTGACCCTTTGGCCTGGTGGTGATGATAGCCATTGGACCATCTTTAGAATTCCAAGATTTTTTTTTTTTTAAGAATTCCAGGAATTTTTGATGCTAAGGCAAATAATGAATGGAAACCTGGAAGGAATTATTGTCTTTGCTCTGCTGTAGACATTGGATCCTTTTGGAGCCTCCCCATTGCATTACATACAGAGTACAGGGAGGAGTAATAGCTTAAACTGACCATATTTGGGACTAAAATTCAGAAACAACAAAACTGTCTACACCCTCAAAATAAAGGACAATTTTGAATTTTCAATTCCCAGTGGAATTCATGTATGACTCCAGTTCTACCTCTTGTCACCTTATCATTTGTTGGAGTGGGGCAAAGGAGATGGTGTAAAAATGGTGGCACTGATTTACCTCCCATTATGAAGTTTGCCCGAGTTTACATCTATTTGCTCTGCCACAGAATAGGTCCCAGCGTTTTAAGTGGCTCTCGTTGTGGGAAAAGAATAAGAGTTAAGACAATTTGGATGGATGAAAAGGGGAAGGGAAAATGGTACAAGTTTTGTTTTTTCTTTTGACATAAAGTGGTGTGGCTAGAACAAGGCCTGTGGCCTTCATGCTTATCCCCCCGGCTTAAAGTGATGCTACATCCCAACGTTTAGCTGGGCTGTGGCGAGAAATACCTCTGGGAAAACACTAGTCATATCCCTTACAAGTAATTAGGAGAGAAGTGGTGCCACACTCGGGTAGAAGGGAAAGGTGCCTCCCAGTACACGTATATGCCACAAGAGTTCCTTGAAAGAGTTCACATTGCTTCCTGACGGGCTGGGGAGGACTTGTATGCAACGGAAGCTTTCTTGTTTCATGCCCAAAATATTAGCTTGTGTCATTACCCAAGCAAAGATTTGGACTTTAAAGTGAGGGAGGCTGAAGGCAGTTAACCCTTGCAGAGAGAATCCTTTTTCCATCTGGCACAGGACACTTTAAAAATAGGGGTATAGGAATCCAACTCTCATTAGTAACTGATAACATCAAATAATTGGTAATTAGTGAAGAAAAGAGAAGACTTGGAGTAACTCCTGTTATCTTTTATACCCACTTTCAAATTCTCTGCAACCCTCTTGTATCCAGGAATCTTGGTCTTAATTGCCTGGCTCAGAAATTTGCGTTAATGTATCTGAAAATGAGAAGTCTTTTATATGGAATTCTAAGTGGACCTCCTCACTATTGAATCCAGCATCTCGTCTAGATGAGGAGCCTCAGTCTTGGAGGTGGAGGAAGTTGGAACTGCTTTGGGAAACATGGGGGCAATTGGTTTGGAGGCAGTAGGGCCATATCATGATTTACCAACAGGCAATTTAAACCACATCAATTGTTTCTGACTGAGCAGGGGACTGATAAGGGAGTTGTTTGGAACAGTCACTGCTGCAGTGATGTGTCTTCTCTCCTCTGTCAATGTCATAAGCCCACACTCTCAGCCCTCATTCTCCAGCCCTATTCAGCCACCACCACCCCACCACCCCTGCATAGGATCATCTACTCCAACAAGAAAAATCTCTAGTAGAGGCCTCCTGACCACTTCAAAACAAATCTCTTTATCCTGCCTTTCTTCTCCCAAAGGAATAAACATCCTGACTCCTTTAACATGCCAAGCACATTCTCTTCAACAGCCTCTGAAACCTTCCTCATTTATCTCCAGATTTTTTCATTTATTTCCTTCATTGAGATTTTCCCTCCTGTCTTCAAATATGTATAGATGCCCTTTCATTCCCTTTTTTTTTTTTAAACTTTAGGTTGCCCTTAATAGGTTAGTGTTTCTCTTAATTTCCCCCCTTCCAGAATTCACCAGCTTAAAATCTATACTGCCTCCGTTTCTAAGTGTTCATTTCCTATCATGCTATAATCTGGCTTTACACAATTTCCTACCTAGCTATTCTCTCAAAGATCATTAGCGACCTTTGAACCAAAGTGGATGATGTGCTCTCCAACACCGCACATCAGTTGCCTGCCTCTTTTTTTTGTCCTTAGCAATACAGTATAGTACTGATACTCACCCTGTCTTTCTGACCTTTCTTTCTGTTGACGCCTATGTTGGCTGCTTTTTTCCTAATCTTATAAAGCATAGGGGCTGATTACCCGCTTTTTCTTAGAAAATGTATTCATCTGTATTGTATGTCTTTTACTCAGATGTAAATAACCTCCAAATTCTCATTCCCATAAGAGCTAATTTTAATTTTCCAGCATCCTGAGTCATTTCTCTTAAAGGCTCAAACCATGTAAAATCCAACTCATTTCCACTTCCAACCACTGACCCATGTCCCAAATTTTCCATTAAGATTGATGGCACCACCTTTGCTGAACCAGGGTATCATCTTTGACTCTTTCTTTTCTCTCCACTGTCGCCAGATCCTGTTATACTTTCTTTATGTCTCTCACCCTTATTGCTTCATTTGCATTCTTATTATAACCACTCTAGTCCAGAACTAGTTTTGATTTTTACAATAATCTCTCTTATCTATCCTGTTTCTCTCCATCCTACTCAGTTCAGTAGGTTTACCTGCCTTTTACACTGCCTTATGCAACCTTAAATAGATTACTTTCCATTATGTATAGCATCAACTGTATGTTTTCTAACCTAGCTTTTAAGGAGCCTAAAATTTGATCCCTTTTTAGATATATTTTCTGAAATTAATCTAGAGCTGACATTTCACCCTCATCCGTTGTGCGGCAGGAGTGTGGTTTGATGAATCGAGGGCAACTTCAAGCATGAAATACCATTTCCTTTGGTTTGTAAGCCCAAGTTTAAGCTAATTTAGCGCCTTGCATTATCCTAATTAGCATTATGGGTCTAAGGTGGCCACATAAACTATGTTGGCCCAATTAGACTAAAGGAAAAATCTTATATAAACTCCC